TTTACACACAAAGCCCCTCAGTAAATGATTTTAAATGCTGTGAATTGCTTTTTGCCTGTGACAGGCTACTGGGAACAGAATTTGGAAACATTCCTGTGGAAAACCACTCTTCTCTTCTCCACAGTGTTGCTCGCAGTATGTTTGTATTGGCTGTGTAGATGGGAACTTACTCTGCTTTACTCACTGGGGAGAACAGGTAAAAAATTTCGATTTTACATGTGTTTCTCAAAGGCATAGTCGGTGATGACAACTGAAGTAAAATTTTAAACATTGTTCACCTCACTGTGTTGAGAACTAGTTATATTTTCATTGTTAAGACATGGTTTCTTAATTTTTGAATGATAGCATAGTAGGATTAAAGAATTTCCACTGAAACATTGTTATACTTCTTTTGCCATCTCGCTTCCCCAATCTGTAAAATTTTACTAGTTTTTAGGCAATTTTATTATAACTTCTGTTGAGAAAGTTCAAAGAAGCTCCTGCTTTTTCTCTTAATTGCTACAAATATTTTTACATATTTGTGCTTTGTTATGTGATATTTTGTTTTAGTCATAGAGTGTATAATGATCAAGTTAGGGTGTTTGGGGTGTCTGTCACCTCAAGTGTATATCATTTCTATGTGTTGCAATAAGTTCAAGTCCTCTCTTCTAGCTATTTTGAAATATGCAATACATTATTGTGAACTGTAATCATCCTTCTCTGCTATTGAACGTTAGAACTTACTCCTTTTCTCTGTGTATTTGTACCCATTAGCCAACCTGTCTTGATGCCCCCTCCCCCCACACACCCCTCCCACCTTCTGGTATCTATCATTCTATTCGTTACCTCCAGGAGATCAACTTTTTTAGCTCCCACATGAGTGAGGACGTGCGATATTTGTCTTTCCGTGCCTGGCTTATTTCACTTAACATAGTGACCTCCAGTTCCATCCATGTGGCTACAAACGACAGGATTCATTCTTGTTTTTATGGTTGAGTAGGGTACCGTTTTCTTTAGCCATTCATCCATCGATGGACAGTTAAGTTGATTACATATCTTTGCTATTGTGAATAATAATGCCATAAACATGGGAGTACAGGTACTTGTCTTTTTAATAATAGCCATTCTAACTGGAGTAAGATATTTCATTGTGATTTTGATTCGCATTTACTGCAGCCTTGAACTCCCAAGCTCAAGCAATCCTCCCACCTCAGCCTCCTGAGTAGCTAGGACAAAAGGCATGTGCCACCAC